TTTTCAGCAGGCATTACTCTGTGTCACATGATCCTTCAGAAATTAAAATGCTGATTATCGATGTTGAAAACAGTTGTGCTGCTTAATATTTTTGTGGAAACCGTACTACATTTTTTAAGGATATGAAAGACTAGAAAGTTCAAAAGAACTTATATTTGAAATATAAATATTTTGTAACATCACCAATTACTTTCACTTTTGATCAATTTAATATTTCCTTGCTGATTAAACATTCATTTCTTTCAAAAAAAAAAAAAACAACTTACTGACTTCGATTCAGAAGGTTCTGTATATCCGTATTGGTCATACGGAAAGCTGTAATCTAATTGGCTGATTTGGGGACTTCTATTATTTTGCCTAGAAACAAAGTTGTGTTTATATGGTACCGGGAAGATTAATCTGCTTTCGAGAATGTAGTAACATTTTTGGGAGTTTGCCAGGTTAGTGCCATTCAACCTTTTTAAAAAATATTAAATTATTTTTATTTGAGGCACTTAATAACAGTTTAATTAGATAATCAATGAGCGAATCTGTATGAACCGCTTTATTTTGTATGTCCTGTAGGTGAAATAGTCTGTATTTATTATTTTTGGACAGTCTATACACATTTTCTACATTTTGTACATGTCGTGTCAAACTATTAATATTGTATAATATATTTCAGATAAACATGCCAATAAACGGCTTGAAAAAAAATAAAAATTGATTGGTAACTTCCAGTCAGATGGTCTTTTCCTGTTTAAGTAGGCAGTTCTTGGCTAGAATAAGATGCGGTGTGGACCAAAAATTATGCTGTTTAGTTAAAAATCTGGCTACGCAAGACTAGCCTTCCCTGGCTGAGTATAGCTTTAGCAAATTACACTGACTGGTAAATATTTTTCCACCATCTCTATGAAGAGAGATGGTTTTGGAGGGGTCATGAATAATCCTTGGGCCTGATAGCGCTCTCGCTTTCTCTCTCTCACGTCTGCCTGAAGACACCCATTGGTTTGAGCCACAGCGCTTCATTTTCTGTAGATGTCTCTCCTGCTTTCTTACATGCTGCGTGTTTTCATCATCGTTGTGGGACATCAATCTGTCTTCCGCGGGGCGTGCGGGATTGCAGACGCACGCCGGCACCTATCAAACGGGGGGAGGACGGAAAGCTGCTTCTTTCCTTTACACCACATAAAAGCCGTATATAACACACATGCACAAATAAATACAAAGAAAGCAGAAAGCGTGGTAAAGAAATAAGTCATACTAATTAGCCCGCTAATTCTTTGAGGACTGTGCCAGCTTGATAAAGGATGCTAAAGCTTATTAAAGTAAAAGCAGCGTTGTAAATTTTTTATTATTTTTATGTAATTTTTTTCAGCACAGCTTTATTTTAATCCCACTTTATGAAGTTTGCTGCGTGTAGTGTGGGTGGTGGGAAGAAAAAAAAGGAAGGGGGTTTGATTGTGTCGCTGTAAGGCAGCAGGGGTCTCTGACTCAGATGCATTAACACGCCACAGGCCTTTGTTGCCACCTAGGGTCCAGACCACGCTCTCGCTTTTCTTCCGTCTTTGCTCGCTTAAACTCTCCCTTACGCTGCTGCACATTTCTCTCGCTCACTCGCTATTTCACAAGAGATTTTTTTTTTGCCCTTTTACAATCTAAAAATGCAATTAGAATGAAGAATGTGGCATTTCATTATCATACATGTATAAGCAGTAGCCAGAGGGCTGGCTGCTGCATGGAGAGTGAATGGCAGAATGAAGGCTCTAGCTCTCCCTGGAGGAGAGTGATGGAGATATCCCACAAAGCCACTGCCTGTCAGTGTGATCGGGCCCGCAGTGGGCCAGCGTCTCCACCATGTCTCTGCCTCACAAAGCAAATGTCACACTGTCAGCAAAATGAGCGCCCTGTTTTAAAAGAAGAAGATTTATAGAGTGAAGATCTTCATATTTTGGATTTTTTTTTTTTTTTGACCGCATTTTTCAGCAAATTGTTTCATCTGGTTGGGCATGGATGAAGTGTGTGAGTTTTGTTCTTTTATAGCATATAGCTGTGCTTCTCAAACTTTTCATATACTTTAAATCAGAACAGGAAGTACCGCCTAGTACTGATAATGTTCCCTCCTTTTTTCAGTGTTAAGCATACTGTCTCTGTTTAAGCTGAAAGGGCTAGTCCACCCAAAAATGAAAATTCTGTCATCATTTACTCAGCCTCATGTAGTTCCAAAACTGTATGACTGACTTTCTTCTGCTGAACACAAAAGAAGGTATTTTAAAAAGTGTTTTTAACAAAATGGTTTAAATTTTGGAACAGCTTGAGTTAGTCAATGACAGAATTTTCATTTTTGGGTAAACTATCCCAAGTTGTGAGCAACATAATTATGCTTGATTTATATTAATGTTTTGTTTAGGCAGTTATGAAAAATCATGGTGCCGTAAGACTCCTCATCGGGCCCTTTTGCAGATTTGTGGAAGTACTTTATCAGACCAGCATCTAAAACCACGACATAAAATAACATTTAGAAATAATTCTTTATACAATTTTTGCAGTTCTGTTCAAACACATTGATACTAAATAAATGTTTGCATTTGATCTTAAAACTCTTACAGACTTGGCTACATTATGACATAAAATATACTCAAAATTAGAGTGCTGAATCCAGTGTAAATGTTCTCAAGTTGAATGTGCTGGTCACAATAACATTGAAATCAGCAAGTGCAACTGAAAAACATTGCTTAAGGTCTTAACTCTTGACTATTATCATTGCAGTAATGATGTATATTATATAAATCGATGTAATATATACACGACTGTTCAAATGTTTGGGGTAAGATACGAAGAAAAAGAAATGAATACATTTATTCAGCAAGGATGCAAATCAGCATAATAGAATGATTTCTGACGGATCATGTGACACTGAAGACTGGAGTAATGGCTGCTGAAAATTCATTTTAAAATAGAAAACAGTTATTTTAAGTTGTAATAATATTTCTCGATATTACTGTTTTTACTGTATTTCTGGGGGCTGTTTTATAAAACAAGTTTACCAAATAAGCCAGGTTTATTTCAGTTAGTATGATTTATTGTCACTTGATTTGGTTCAAAATAAGTCAGACTAACTGAAATAAGTCTGGCTTATTTGGTCAACTTGTTTTATGAAACAGCCCCCTGATCAAATAAATGCAGCCTTGCTGAGCATAAGAGATTTCTTTTAAAAACAAAAAGTCTCATCAACCTCAAACTTTTAAATGGTAGTTTTTTTTTTCTTCTTTTGTTTACTGGTGAGCTCCCTGTGTAGCTGGTGTCTCAAGAACAAGCAACCAAGAAGTATCCAAGAGCCCTGATTTCACCCTGCCCCAGGATAAACACTAAATCACAAATGGGCCATGACGTGTGGGTCAACGAGTAAGTGTTTGTGTCCATGGGAGTGTGGAAAAGCTCAATCGAGGCACTCCATGAGATTGTTAGCATGCACCGGACCGCCCTCCCCTCTTGTATCCCTTTTAAGTGCTGACTGGCCTGATGATAATGTATGGCGCCAGAAGTAATTGAAAAATTGGCAGGCTTGTCAGAGAGATTTGGTGGATGGCACCGGCCGATCCGGCAGCAAGGTTCATGAGCTATCGTCCCACCGTGAGATTTATATCGCAGCACGGGCCGGCAATGGCAAAGTACCCAGAGTTCAGGAAAAAGTAACTCATTTTTCATAAAGGCCAGGCTGCATATCAAAAGTCATCCATAGACAGAGACAAGACCCATATGCTGAATAAAGCAAAGCTGTCTGCCCAGATTAACTGCTGAGGCGGCTCTTGAAGCCACATATTGGACGTGTATCACACAACTGATGTTTGTATGTCTGGAAATGAAGCTGGCCTGATATCCTTATATTGTGCACATACTTCATTACAAAGCTATTACTATTTAATGAATAGGTTATTACTATGTAGTTATGATAGTCTTGCATTTGCTTCTATAAATGTATTAAGAGCTTTAGAGGACAATAGGTACTTTAAAAGTTTAAAGTTGTCTGAAAAATTATACTGGCCTAAAGTAATTTTCTATATATTGAGAACACCTTTCATTATAAATTACAAGATAATTGCTATGTAATTACTATTATAAGATTTGTTCCTATAAATGTATTAAGAGCTTTAAAGAACAATAGATGTGTTTAATGAGACGTCGTCAATGTTTTGTACTCTTGATGCTTTCTGTAAGTAAAGCCATGAATCATCACGCTATTCTCGGCTGTTTTGAGTGTAGTGTGTGGTCAGGGCTCTGCCATCACACATGGCTGCGTAGATGTGTTTATTAACCTTTAGAGGAGAGGATAATTGCATCTGTCAGACTCACTTAAAAGCTGAGATGGCCATCATTTCCTGTTTGTCGTCTCCTCTAAATTCGTAGGTTGTGTAAGTGACTCTGGCATGACGTTTGCTCTTTGTTGTTGAGGCATTGAAATTACCATTATTCAGAGTTAAGTGTAACATGTCAAAATGGTTTAAAACCTTGGTTCATGGGACTTTGCTAGTGATTTTCTATATGTATAATATACATCCAAATTAGATAAAGGAAATGTATGCAGTTAAAATAATAGAAAGGACACAGCCTTGCAAGGTTTTTTTTTTTTTTTTTTGGCGCAAAAAATCAGATAAAACAGATATGACTTGAGGTGTGGACATTTACTTTGTTGTTTGCGTAATTCAAACTAAAAGAACATTATTATTATTAGGGATGGCTTGATCCCACTTTTTCATCTGCTGATACTGATGCCAATCCGTTTTTTCCCCTAGATTTTATTTCAGTTTAAAATATCTACTTCATTAACTTAACTACACACTGCTTAAATATAGTTAATACCATAATACCATACATATGGTTAATATTGTGTTATATACTTTTTTTTTTTGATTATTCAAATTTCTGATTATTCAAGCTGAATCATTTATGAACTTCTTAAGAAGCTATTTTATAAATAAAATGTTCTTTTCCACTTAATAGGATAATTTTGTATCTTTCAGGAGGAAGAACCTCAAGAGGTTGAGGATGAGTCTGTGAAAGAGGAAGGGACTGAGCAGGAGATCCCAGACTGAAAAACTCTCAACATTACCTCACGTGAAGTAATCGTCTTGTCTACACAGTCAGAGCCATCACCTCATTTCCTGCTGAATAGCAGGATGCTAAATAATTTTCACAAATTAAATGAACAGACGTGAACTGCCACTGCTTCACCAGACTGAAATTGTCCTCCTTTAACCAGAAAAAATTGTAAATGACCACAATTGCCAGCTTAAAAAATTGTCAATGCTGTGATCTCTATATATTTTTTTCAAATATGTAGGGAATTGTACAGACTCGATGTATGTTCAAGTCCACCGTCATGAATGCTGCAGCTGATCATGATCTGCATGAGAGCCAGTAAAAAAGCCTGTTTTTTAAAAGTTATTTTTCATACACTAATTGACATATCCCATGACTCATGGATGTGAATATCATCATGGTATCATGTGTCCAGAAATTCCTCAAGCAGTGTTTCTGATCATATTTTTTTATATATATACAGAGACTGCACACTGTTCGTCCTGTCCCGCCAACACCCTCTTTGTTTATCAGCTTTATAATATTTGCTTTTGTTTTTATTTCATATTTTTAAACACCAGTGCATTATACGCATATGAACTGACAGTTAAACTGACAGTGGCTTGTGTTATATAAATCATTACTTCCTGATCTAAGAGCAAAGTCTATTTTATTATTTTTTACAAATCTCATTTTTATAAATGCAGTATATTCAAGAACATGCTTTATCATTGACAGTGTTGTTGTCTGTGCTCATGTTTGGGGCTATTCTCAGTTTTAAACATTATTTCAGTGTAAAATAGTGGGACAATTCATCTGCCTCAATGCTTGAGTTCAAGACAAGTCTGTATTTAGGTACTTTAAAAAATGTGACCTTCGTAATAAACAATACTTGTGAATTTATTATTATTATTTCTGTTATTGATGCTAACCGCAACAGTACCATAACTATTCAGATGTCAATCAAGATAAAGGGCACTCAAGATCTCAAGAAAGAACCATTCTCAGGGACTGAAGTGCACTTTCCACAAATAGGGTACAAAATAGCACTTTTTTTTAATGATCAGTGAAAGGAGATGATTAATGTTGATCATCAACCTTAGGATATCTACAGAAGAGGATTAGGGCCAAGCAATAATAAAAAAAACAAAAAACATCTTGAGATTAAAGTCATTATAATGCGATATTAAACTCGTTAAATTTCAAGAAAAATGTTGAAATACAATGTTGAGAATTAAATCCTTAAATTTCGAGAAAAAAGTCGTTTCGAGAAAAAACTTGTTAAATTTCGAGAAAAAAAGTCAAAATAAAATGTTGAGAATGAAGTCATTAAATTACGAGAAAAAAGTAGTTGTGTTTTGGGAAAAAAACATTAAATTTCGAGAAAAAAAGTCTAAATTAAATGGTGAGAATAAACGTATTAAATTACGAGAATAAAGTCGAAATAAAATGCTGACAGTAAACACACTTGTGTCATGTTCATTTTATCTCATTGGATACTGTTAATCAGCGTCTGCAGTGGCGTAGGTCGTAGAGAGTAATGCTCGTGTATGTGGTCGACCAGAGTTCGATTCCGCTTTTATGCTCCATCCACAAGCATTACTCTCTATGACCTACGCCACTGCAAACGCTGATTAACAGTATCCAAAGAGATAAAATGAACATGACACAAGTGTGTTTACTCTCAGCATTTTATTTCGACTTTACTCTTATATTTGAATGAGTTTATTCTCAACATTTAATTTCAACTTTTTTTCTCAAAATTTAACGAGTTTTTTTTTCTCAAAACACTACTTTATTCTCAAAATTTAATGAGTTTATTCTAGGGCTGCACGATTAATCGAATGTGATTGTCATGCGCATCTTGTCAGTAAAGCTGGTTCTGTGATTTAATAACATGTTTTTACTCCAAACTCACTTCATAACGTCAGTCGAGTGTTTGAAATCAATTCTTCTGTGACATGATGTGGCTTCTTACACAGAATAAGGCACACAACATATCAAGCGTATTTGGAGTTTCAGTGCGAGAGCGCTCTCTGGCCTTCGGATGGAGATTTAATCGCCTAATCGCGATTTATCGCCTTTGTGATTTAATTTCGATTAATTGTGCAGCCCTAGTTTATTCAAAACATTTTATTTCCACATTTTTCTCGAAATTGAACGAGTTTAATATCGCATTATAATGACTTTTTTATTTTATTTTATTTATTTTTTTAAGATCATTCAGTGAGATTATTTGTCTGTCTGCAATGAAATGACTATTTTGTGCCACAGTTTTATAATGGATATCATTGTTGAGGACAAGCTGTGGGACATCGCTAAATATTATTTACTACAGTGAACTGGATATCAATTTAATAGCTAAATGTCAGAATTATGATACTACATGATTTTAATTCCTTGGACAGGCCACAATCAAAAGGGGCATACAGATGTGTTTAAATCTGGCTACTTTAAAAGTAATATTAATTTTATGTTAGATATAAGTTTAATCTATTGGTTCGAAAAAAAAAAAAAAAAGCTTTAAATAGGTAATGGGACATCAAAGTGTACCGCATTCTTAGAAAGTGCTGAAGACGTTTCTCAGATCTTATAAAATATGACTGAGCGTAATGACTTGATAATGAAAGCATTACTTGCATCACTCAGTGATAGATGAGTTCAAAGCTGTTTCTCAAGGGCTTAGTGACGCTTGCCAGTGGGCAAACCAACATGTCTTTATCCAGCTCTGTCGTGTCTGTTTCTCACTGTGCACAAGTCATTTAACCATTCTCTCACACCACAGGAGCAAGGGAAGAACATAAATGCCATTTTATCCTAGTATCTCATTGCCTCACGAAGCTTCTCCTCGCCTCACCCTGTCAGGGAATCTGACTTGCATTCTGACATTAATGCATCGAGGGGTGTAATTCCAATTTGTTCCAAAGCAACTATTAATTTGCCCATTTCAGGGCCGTGCAGGAGGAACCCCTGTAAGGCCACTGAACCATTATCTGAAGGGCTCTGTTTCTTTCGTGGTTTTTTTT